ATTTTGAACAACTTGGAATCAAAACAGTATCTTAGCTGGATGGATGTCTTTTACCAACAATTCAGTCATGCCGTTTTTTTCCTCCAAATTATAAAGTTCCAAGACACTTCTTCCAAAAGACACCAATTTGTCCCTATTTTCTCTTTGTCACAAATGATTCTAATCTTGCCAAATGGGAGGATCCCTTATTTCGTAGCTTGACATATCTTGGATCTGAAAGCTATTACTTCATGACGGCCTTTTGAAATTCTACCTCTAATCAGACAGGAAATGGCATGACATTTTGATCAAAGCAATTGTTCAGACCAGATTTCTGTACGCCAAATTGTGTCCAACTTTAATCACCTGGACCACTCTTGCTCAATAATTATAATCCATAGGTGAATTGATGACTTTTGCGCTTACAAATATGAAAAAATAGCAATCGTTTCTGAATGTCACCCTGATATTCAAACCGGTAATTGTGGAGGACGCGTACTGCATCTATGGGCACTTTAAAATGAACTGAAAATATGAATGGGGTTTCTCAGTAATAATGGGCTGTGCTGAATCAACATTATGCATGGTCTGTCAACTCAAACAATGGCGCTACAGTGTGGTCAGCCATTCTAATTATGCCCTCTCTCCTCCTGTACCAAAACTTCTTCTTGATTTGTGGACTTTTTACCCACAAACTTAGAAAAAGTAGAAGAAACAGATTGTATTAAGTTGAGTATAAAGCTATTTCCAATGGTATTAATACTTACTTTAGTTGTACAAATGCTATGGGACGTCAAAAGCCATAATCAGCTTTAAATGTGCACTTTGTAGCTTTTCTGGTAAAAGGCCATGCCACCTGCTTGTATCCATGGGAATGTTATTTTGTTTAATGTAATGTTCCACAGTTTGGCATTAAGTTTGTCTATGTCATACCTATTTATGTATTTTTGTTGCTCAGAAATATCTTGGGAAAACATGCATAAATTATACAATATCTATCTATCTTACTGTGAGTGTAGATCGCTTCTCCACAGATCTGACCTGTAACTTGGCCTGGTGGTGTCCTCTACTTGTCTCCATGGAGATAGAGAATTAAGTTAAATGTCTTATTGTGGCACATTTTAACCTATATTACCTCATCAAAAACATACCTGGAGGTGTGTTTTGTTTCATTCACACCTGTTTGAGTAAACCAGCATTATTCGGTTGTCTGCATCTCCATAGCTCAAAATGTTCCGTTCCACCTTGTGATGTCATGAAGTCGTAGTTAACAGCTGCCTTTTACTTTCTAAATTTGCAGGGTTTCTGTGTTAAACATGTGTGAATGAAACAAAACACAACTCCAGGTATGTTTTTGATGAGGAAATATTATAACATAGATCAGAAAATAGCATAATATGGACCTTTTAATCATAGTTGATTTGGTTTAAGTACATTTTAAAAACTACAAAATTCAAAATGACTTTACATATATTGGCAATGCTAAACTCTACAAGGCAGACACTGTGTAATGTGTGACTAACGGTCCTGCTGAGTTTGATGTTTTATAATCCCTGTTCGCCTAAGCACATATGTCAACAAAGATGAGAGAATAAAGAGCAGAGCAAAAAGTGATAGCTACCACATAATATCCATAAGCTCCATATTACGCAAAATTCACACGTGCATTTTTAGTCACGCTGGAATGTTGATACCTTGTCAAAAACATATCTGCAGTTGCGTTTTGTTTCATTTACACATATGTGAGTAATACTTTATTACTAGTCAGTCAATATCTCCAGAGCTCAAAATGTTGCACCTTGTGATGTCATGAAGTGGTAGCTTCCAATTTAACAGCTACCTTTTAGCTTTAGTTCAATTCCAGGGCTGAAATTATCCAAATGATTCTAGTGAAGGTGTATGGAGTTTAAAAACACAGTGGAGCATTTCCTGCATAATCACAACGTCACAAATGTTTTCAGTTTGAGAGAAGAACTAAGCCTAAATATGCAGAGCTTGTTCGTGAAAACCCTTAGTTGTCCAGGTAGGATCTAGCCTGATTCATCAGTCGGTTTCACTTCGTGGAAACTGTCTGACCTGAGCATTAGAATTCATTCGCTCAACGGTAGGTAGATACTTTTATTATTTAACCAATCGCTGCTATTTGGTCGTGCTGTATGTAATGCACTGCTAACAGGGTTAACTGGTATATTAAGCGTTTCCCAAATCCTGTAGGAAGAAGGGCAATAATGTCTTTCCCCTTGATAAAATTTTGTTCTGGCTTTAAATCCTCGATCTCGGGAATCCTTGCCAACACAGAATGTATGGCTCTTCACTGATTGACTGGTGGCCGGACCCGCATTTCTGGGGTTCTTATGAGCTGTCTAGTGTATTCCGATTCCTGATCTAGTCGCTGAAGAAAATAAAATTGAGCAGAGGCATTAGGTGGCATCAGCCTGGCTAGGTAGGATCCATAGCAAAGAAGAAATTAAATTCTGTAAACTGGATACAGTTTTTGGATCGAATATATGTTTTGCAGCTCATCCAAGCTGCTTCTTCAGTTCTGGTCAGACGCTAGTGGACACTTCCTCATATCTGCCTGAAGGAAGGAACTAAATCCACTGAAACTACACTGAAACTAACTCTTGTACTTGTTTACAGTTTCTGTTTGTTAGCTATGTCTATTTTGTTAACTGAGTATGACTCAAGCACAGTCCACACTTAGTGCAGTTAAATAGACCTAGATAACAAACAGAAGTTTTCACAGTAGTTTCAGTGTAATTAGCTCCTTTCTTAAGGCAGATATAAGGCAGGGTTTGTGTGTGAAACGTGTGAATGAAACAAAACAAAACACAACTCCAGGTCTGTTTTTGATGAGGAAACAACATTTTAAAATAGATTAGAAGATAGTGTAATATGGGCCCTTTTGTCATTCAGCCCGTATATTTAAGACACGGGCTGTAGTTGGTCAAATGAGAGTTGTAAAACGACCACTGAAACTTGAGCTGCAGTAATGCTTAGATTATAGTGAGTCATTAGGAGTGGGAGGATTGTAGCAGAGAGGAAATGAAGAAAGTTATATTTAGGGAAGACAACAAGGCTTGACGTCTTTGCAAATGTGCTTTCTCTACGTGGACAAATACCATTAAAGATTTTGTTTTGAAGCAAGAGGCAGGATTCTACAAACATCACAGTGATACTACCAAGTCTCATTGATTTTTGGAGGCCATTTTATGATTGAAAAATATTGAACTGAAACTTTATAGGCAAAGCTCTTTCTAAAACAGTCTTAAAAATAAATCACTGAGCAAAACATATTTCAGGTGACATTATTTTTTACTTGAAAATGTTTTAAAGGGCCATATTATTCTATTTTTGATCTACGTTATAATGTTGTTTCCTCATCAAAAATCATACCTGAAGTTGTGTTTTGTTTCATTCACACATGTTTAACACACAAATCCTGCAAATAAAAGTTCTTCTCTCAAACAGAAAACACTTTGTTCCACCTTGTGATGTAATGTGGCAATATAGGAAGTGCTCCTCTGTGTTTTTAAACTCCATATACCTTCACTAGAATCATTTGGATAATTTCAGCCGTGCAATTGCCATTTTCTACTCACCTAAAGGTAAAAAGTGACTTGAAAACTACTTCATGACATCACAAGGTAGAACAGAGCATTTTGAGCTTTAGAGATATATAATGAAGAATTACTCAAACACATGTGAATGGAACAAAACACTTCTCCAGGTCTGTTTTTGAAGAGGTAACAACATTATAACATGGCTTAAGCACAAGAGTCACTGTTTTGTGTAATTTAGGACCATTTAACGCATGTTTGATTATTATTATTCAGGCGCAAAGTGAGATCAGTGTGTAAAAGCAAATAACAAATATACAAATACCTTATATTCAAGAAAATTATGCAAGTAAATGTTACTAAAGCATGCTGCACTATGCCTCACTGAACTCCTACTATCAGATAATGTTTCTAATTGTTCATAGCTGGACATTTACAGCTGCTCCGAGACACTGTGTGCACCAGGGCGCTTACGTTTACATTGTGTCATTCCCACGTCTCCACTTTGAGTCATAAACAGCTCCTCACATCCATCAAATCAGCAGACAAACTCCGAGTGCTCTGTGGGGGCCCTCTTTGTCAGATAGGCCCATTAGAGGAACTGCATCTGCTGCTGTGTCATTGTGGCAATACACTTAAATGGGCAAGGCCAGATTAAGATCCACCAACCTGAAGCAAAGTGGTGCCAGAGGCTAAAGAGATGCAACCAAGGACAAAACAATAAGGAAAAATAGGATAATGTAATGTAATGGTTTTAATGGAAAAAGATACAAAGCAAGACTATAATTTAAATCCACTGTATAAATAACTAATACATATTTATGCATTTTCTCATTTTCAGCTACATAAGAGTTGTTTGGGGTCTTATTTTAAAGGTGCACTAAGAAACTTTTCTGGTGAGGGATTTGCCCCGTGATTATCTACATGGAGACTGATTGCTTTGCTTGGAATGTTCTGCAGTGTGGCATTAAAGATACTGTAACTATTCACATGGAGACGAGCATGTGACCGCAACAGGCCAAGTTACAGTTCCAATCTCAGAGGAGAGGTGAGCCCACTTACAGTAATAATGCATATTTCAGGGGTCCCCAACCCGCGGGCCATGGACCGGTACCAGGCTGGATTGTTTGGTACCGGGCTGCAAAAGTGTAAATCCCCCTCTAAACAAAAACTAAACCAGGACTAAACCAGGATTTAACCAGGACTAAACCAGGTCTAAACCAGGTCTAAAATCAGAACTAAACAAGGTCTAAATCAGGTCTAAAACCAGGACTAAACCATGTCTAAACCAGGCCTGAAACCAGGTTGAAACCAGGTGAAAAACCAGGACTAAACCAGGTCTAAACCAGGTCTAAACCAGGTCAAAACCAGGTCTAAAACCAGGACTAAACCAGGTCGAAACCAGGTCAAAAACCAGGACTAATCCAGGTCTAAACCAGGTCTAAACCAGGTCAAAAACCAGGACTAAACCAGGTCGAAACCAGGTCAAAAACCAGGACTAATCCAGGTCTAAACCAGGTCTAAAACCAGGACTAAAACAGGTCTACACTAGGTCTAAAACCTGGACTAAACCTGGACTAAACCTGGACTAAAACCAGGACTAAACCAGGACTAAACCATACCGTGCCACCACAGCCCCCGGTCCTCAAAATATTGTCAGACATAAAACTGGTCCGTGGAGCTAAAAAAGTTGAGGACCACTAGTATATTTTACAATTACTACTATTAATAATGGGACATATATGGATAAATTTAATGCAAAATTGTGGAACATTCAAGGTAAAGCAGCAACATTATTGCAACACCTTTAAGTCACCAAAAGCTAGAATCACACTGAGACACAGACCTCCTCCAAGGCATTGGTCTTAACATGCAATGATACACTGACCACACCACGTTATAATGTTCTGATATTCCCCAGGCAATATCTCAAAATATCAAAAAATTTTCTTCCTTTCTTTTTACCTGACTGACCTCTTGTGGTTGAAGAGAAGATTTCTTCAGATACAACACAAACATGCCATAAAAATTCCTCCTTGAACTTTATAACTAAACTAACCATTAACAGCAAAATCCATTGAATAAAGGGGAATCACTTGGGGAAAGAGAGATAAAATAAAATCTCTGGTACTGTTCTGTTAAACATTTACTCTCAGTTTATTGTGGAACTGTTTGCTATGTAATGCCAATAAAATGCTTTAAAAGTATCTGCATATGACAAGATTCCATGTAAACACAAAGTTAAAACCACACTTCTGATCATTCTCAATGAATATAGATACATTTTATGCCACACTGTGGAAGCTTATACCCAAGTTAACAGCATTTCCATGGAAACAAGCAGGAAGAGGCCCTTTTCCAGACCAAATAAAAGCCAGGTTTGTGGAGATCGCAAGCCTGCTCAGAATAAGAATGCATAAAAATAAAACATGCTTCTATTTTAGCCTATTTTTTGCCTGAAAAGTCACATATCGTGGCTTTAACAGTATAGGTAAATTATAAATACAACAAATTTAGCTTATGACACAGAGAAAATTGTTATATAATAATTTATCAAATTATTTATACATTTGATTTACTTGATGTGTTTAATTTCAGATTTCTTTACACATCTAAGGGGCTATAAAAATACTGTCCACCATAATGCATACTCTGTTTAGAACAAGTTTTGCCTCTTAAATATCTTAAACCTGGTCAGAAATGTGAAATAGACATATGAGAGACAGATGATCACGTTTTTCACCATAAACAACACTGGAGTCACACATCCAAACACAGCTAGTAACGCCACCCGGAGGACAAAAAAGGGAAAGTCCTGAAGAACTACCCCTGCAAAGGAATGGAGGGGGTTGTTTGGGGTAATAGTCAGCCTCAAAGCTGACAGAAAACTGAGAATGTAGACCGGGAATACCCAACCTGAGTAAAAGACATCAGGTATGCCTCCTATCCGAACCATCTCAACTGTATCCAACCAAAACATGAAGCTTTCCACAAATAGCTCCGCCCTGGGGTCTCTTCTCCATAGGATTTTCATGGGTCCAGAATAGGCACGTGGTCTGGTTGAGTACAAATAATCGGTGTTGGTGGGTCTACGGGTGTACACTGGTTGAGTAGGGGTGCTGTCCTGCTGTCTGCCAGAGGGGGCACCATTGCGGACTTCGGGTTCAGGATGGGCCACTCCATTGGGGGTGTGTTCGGTTTGAGCGGGGTCAGAGGACATTTGGCCTGAGACGGTGGTGACGGTGGTCACCAGGTGAGTGAGTACAGGACTGGACATGCCCAAATAAGGATCGTCGAAGTCATCCGCTGCAGCAAATAGAAGTTAAATTATATAAGTTAGATCAAATGAATTTAAAGGGCCAATATTAAACTATTTTCTGATCTTTCATACACCTTCACTAGAATCATTTGGATAATTTCAGTCCTGGAATTGCCAATACTGCACAAAAGCGAAAAGGTAGAACTACCAGAAATATATAAACTATCGCAATGAAAGTAGAAAAACTCTTACTTCGTCCCAGGAGGCGATGGGGCCGTAGTTTTTCCACAATGTCGACACAAATCATTGAAAAGAGCACCAAAGAAACAGGCAGCTCTGCAAAATGGTCCAGTCTCAACGCTGCGTCCACCTGCACCTGGAGATCGATAAGAAGAAAAGAAAAGTCAATATCAGGAACTGCGTCAGACACAAAGGCATTAAGAACAACAAAGCAAGGAGAAATTAGACTTATTTAGCTAGAAGAAATACTGCAGTTCAGAAAAATACTGTATAGTGCATCTTACTTAACAATTTAAACAACTATGTAATAACAAACCTTCACAATCCAAGTGCAATATTTACTATGAGGTTCACAGCCATAGTAAATCTTTTAATTGTTTAAGCTGCATTGATAGACTTTAATGTTTTGTTTATTTTTTGGATTTATTTATTTTTTACCTTCTACAAAGAATACACTGTATTTTAAAGGTCTTATATGACGCAAAATTGACTCTTGTGAATTGTGAACCATGTTACGATGCTGTTGCCACCTCAAAAACATACCTGTAGTTGTGTTTGCATGTTTGAGTAACCTTTTATTATTAGTCTGTTAACATAGTCCAAAGATCAAAATGTTCTGATCCACCTTGTGATGTCACGAACTGATTGTTAATCGTCAATTTAACAGCTACCTTTCACCTTGTTTGGAAGACAATGGCAATTCCAGAGCTGAAATCATTCACATGAGCTTAGTGAAGGTGTACAGAGTTTAAAAACACAGTGAGTCCTTCCTCTATTACCACATGACATCACATGGTAGAACAGAGTGTTTTCTATTTGAGAGAAGAACTCAGCCAAAATATGCAAGATTTTTGTGTTAAAAGTGTGTGAATGAAACAACATGCAACTCCAGGTTTGTTAGTGAAGAGTAAGCATCATTATAACAGATCAGAAAATACCTTAACAAGGGACCTTTAACCTGAGGCAGCCGGACAATAAATGGTTTTCTTCAAGTCTTTTTTTTTTTTTTTCGAACATTTTGAGCACAAAAAGAATGATAGGTCTACTACTTGCATAAAACCGAAAGTGCATTAACATAATAAAGTATGTGTTAATAAGAAATCCAATGCAAGTTACTGAGTATCCCAATCTCGTGATCCAGTCACTGTCAAAGTCCTTCACACAACACCCAACTCACTATGATCAAAACACTCTATGATGGTGAATGCTTTTAATACCAATAATAAAGACTTAGCCAGTGCTACAAAAACAATGCATGGTGGTACCTTGGAACTGGCAAGAAGAATCCCAAAACATGGAGCTGAGGAGAGGACAAGATAAAGCAGGACTGTGGGTCTCCTGATGCCATAACAAAAAAGAATAAATAATATGCATTTATTTCATATAAATAGAATAAATTACAGATAACATCAATTGTACCGGCCTACTAAAAGAGTTTTACCACTAGCCTATACAAATGTTTGACTAATAAAGGCAGTAAATGGGTCCTAATGAGCCCAGTGTAATTGGTCAAACATACTTGCAATGTATGATTAATTATCCCTATTATGACTAATTATTAATAGGCTATTTTCAATGAGCACTTCTAAACTGTCTTCAGCTGACAACGGACTGGCTGGACCTGAGAGTGGGAGACACAAAAAGAATAAAAAAATACCTCCCCAAATAAAATTTTGTATAATTTCTCATCGCATTCTAACATTATATGAGTCTTAGTTAGTCTTATACCATTGTGAGATTTCGGTGATGAACCTGCGCCCCTTCAGGACCATATACTCCAGAGGAGCCCACGCCACCAGCGTCACGGTGGTCACGTACGCGACGGATACGGCCACGATCAGCCAATACGTGGTCCAGTCCCGGTAGTTTACATCCCGGAGCAGAGCTGCAAATCTCTCCAAAACCACAAACAGCGGGGAAACGAGAGCGGCAAACTCCACGATTTCATATATGATCAGTTTGATAGTTTTTCCAGACAGCATAGTGGCCCCAGGATGATGCGTTCAGGTGCTAAACACTTTTCACGGGCATGTCTCCAAAAGGCGTGTGGACTCTGGACAGCTGGTGTGCTTACAGTGCACCACGGGCTGTGTACTTTTAATGTGCAGAGTTTATGGGGCCAGAAAAGCACACTCCCATCCCATAACATCCAAGAGATACTCACGGGTGATACTCGCCAAGTTAGTCTATTAGCGTGATTTTTTTGATGGGATTTTACATATTGCCAAACTGTAATTTCCATAAAATAATAATAAACAAACTAATAATAATAATAATAATAATAATAATAATAATAATGATAGGTGGGCAAAATATCTCATCTACACAAGAATATATTATTTGGATGGTAGGCGTAATTAAAAAACAATGCAATTATATTGGGCTAATTACAGGTACATTTGTATTATCTGATGATTTAGAGAGACAGGACTATGAGTCAGCTTGTCAGTGGCTATATGAGACCTAGTCCTCTCAAATTAATTAAACTCCAACCCCCGCAGTTCCCACATTTCATTATTTTGTGTGTGAGATGATTTTTCTTTATTCTTTTTCACACATTACAACAATGTAATGACATGTAAATGTATTCCAGTTTCCACTTTGATAAAGGTTATATGATGTCATTTTATTGTAGCAATACAATGGCAATTATTGACTAAATTAAGATTATAAAAATGATTAATATAATTTGAGTTGGTACAGTCACTAATCACCTGACATGATTAAAATCTGGGTCACATAAAAGTGCACATGACAGTTTAACATTATTCTATTTAGTTTTTTTTCTTTAGTTAAATTGTATGTCAATCTTTTCAGGTACAATACAGAATCTTTCGTGTTGATGATATTAGTTGAGGTACAAAGCTGCTTCCGGTATTTTTGTCCACAAACTAAAGGTGTGAGAGGGTCTGGAATTAACCACATTGAAGCATTGAACTCATCCATCTCCATAAAGATAAGCAGAAATTAAATCAGACCTTGATACAGGTCAGATCTATGGAGAGAGTCATCTGTTCATTATATTTTTAAGCAATAAAAACCTCTAATGGAATAAAACAGAAAAGATAAATAAAAAAATTTAATGTCTTACTGTAGAATTTTCCAGGCAAAACAATAACATCCCCACTGAGACCAAAAGGTGGTGGACACACTGCCAAAAAAGTTATATGGTGCACGTTTAACTGATAAGAAATGTGAGATAAATATTCACAACAGGTACTATCCTACCCAACCAAGTAATAATTTGAAAACTGTCATTCACTTTAAGAACCCAAAGCATTACACTGATGTGTAACCTTCAATCAGCTTTAAGATTAGTTCTTAAAGGTCCTATTTTATGTAAAACTGACTCTTGAGCTTTAAGACATGTTATAATGTTACCTCATCAAAATCATACCTGGAGTTGTGTTTCGTAATCCTGGATTATTAGTCTTTTTACATCTCTGAAATGATCCAAATGATTCTAGTGAAGGTGTATGGAGTTTAAAAACATGACTTGACATCACAAAGTGGAACAGTGTGGTTTCAGTTTGAGAGAATAATTCAGCCCTAATGTGCTGGATTTGTGTTAAATATGTGTGCATGAAACAAAACACAACTCCAGGTATGTTTTTGATGAGGAAACAACATAACATAAATCAGAAAATTGCGTAACTGTAGCGCCTGTTATATTGTGCAAAAGCAAAAAATGTCAACACTCTGTACATTTGGCCTGTTTTTATTGTCAATACCAATTAATAAGTATGGTTAAAATAATACATACTAACAGCGGGGTACAACTTTAGACAGTACTTGTACAATAAAGAGATGCTCCTTTTCAACATTAACTTAAACAGGAAGCCTCAGGATCCTGTACAATATGTTAAATGTTCAAAATGTGTGATATAGACTGGCTCCAAGTCAAATAATGGTCCCACAATACCTGCAAGTTTATCACATACCATCTTACATACAACTGCTTATTAGCTCGTTTTATACCAGAGGAAGGCAGTACAAAACATTCTTAAATCAACAATAAATCAGCCTTATCATATCATGGAAACGTCAATGCATTTTAGTCTTTTATTTGTAAGTTAATTCACTGGATTTGTATTAGTCATGATAAATATTAACCATTAACGAATGAAAAACAAAAAAAAATCTACATTACCAGAAAATTTAAATAAAGTCTTTAAAATTAGCAACAGAAATGCATTGACTTTTCTATGAATTTGTAACGTTTGACCAGTCTAGGTTGAGTAGTTTAGTGGTTGCATTAAAAAGGGGAAAAACAGTGTTATAATGAAATGTAATTGAGAACACAACATCCTAAAAAGTCAAGTTTTTGTTCTTACTCTTCCTTCACTGTGCATCCTTATACATTATACCGAGAACATAATATTTACTTTGCAATTTCAATTCCATCAATACTTGCAGACAACTCGAGAAGCAGCCTTTTTTAGACATGAGAAAGGGTGAGTTTTTGAAAATTTTGTTCTTAAAGCTTCAACACTGTAACTGACAGAGTCTAGAGATGTCAACAAAATCTGACAAATTTGCCAGAAATTTGCTCTCTAAAATTTTGAGTGTGGCTTGTTATTCACATATGACCTTATGGTACAACACAGACATGTCTCGAGTCATTTAAAAATATACAACTAAATAATACATCATATGCCTGCTCTGTGAATACATACATCAATCCCGCAAGATTTCTGCATTTAAAAATAGCATAACAATCAAAACCATAAATTAAAATGCACTACGAAAATGATGTTTTGAAACACAAATGTTTTCAACACTTGGGGTTCAGCCAGTTCTATGCTCCTCTGATACAAGTGTGACCAACCAGCCGTAAGATTCAATTTACAAAAAGTAGACTCTGTAATTTGATTCTTAGTATTGCAATATTGGCAAATGCTAATGCTCTGTTTTGCAACAAATTTTGTTTTGGTACCATAGTATTCATGGGTATTCAAGCTTAATTGCATTGGCAACAGTGGACATAGCAATTCACCAAAATTTTATATCTTTTGATTAGGGAAAGGTCCTCACAAAAAACGTCAAATCAGGAAGGAATTATTTGCCTGACACCCATGAATAAGAAATAACTATGTAGAATAGAAATTGTTTGAGAACGATTGACTGTAAAATTCAGGTTAGTTAGAAGTCCAAATGTATTGTATCATTATCTAGTACTGTAGTGTATACATTATAATATATTTTTTCCATATAAAGAACATAAGCACTTGCATGTCTCTTTTTGATTCAGTCAGTACCACCAACATAAAATAGTCCACCTTAGGGCTGACAATTGAACACACTTGATTTGCGGTCACTACCAAGTCATTACAGTATTTACAAAAGAGTTGTGCATGCTGCTTCTTGAGATTTTTCCCTCCAAAAAAACAAAAAGTGGCGTCAGTTTTCAGTACTTCTAAAAGTGAACAACATATACAGAGAAGTAATCTATTTTTGAATAATCATACAAGTCCTTTTATCATTAGAATAAAAACGTCATGTTAAGCCTTTGCGATCCGTAGCCTGTTTTTGTCTGAGGAGTGAGTGAGAAGGCTGCCCCCTAGTGACTGTTCAGTTAGTGTATGAGTAGTTAAGTTATTACATACTAAAGAAGATGCTTTTCCCATAGTATGCCTTGTAGTGTATTATGAATCCAGTGTTTCTTTCAGGGCCGATCAAAAAGAGGTTGCAAAACAATGAAAAATGATAAATAAACCAAAGTGCAGCAATAAAATATACAAATATGTTAAAATGACACCCAAGTAAATGCATTTACCTTTTTCACTTCTCCAGTTGAGGGGTCTTAAATATGGCTTGAACAAATCCAAGTTACTTAAGGTGGACAGACCTGATCAACAGCTAATTTTAATCAGTGACTGAGTAGTCACCTGGATACTAATTCCATCTTAAATTGTCATTGTTTTCATTGTTCTGGGAAGTTTCAGAATGCTTGATAACACTGGGAAAACAACAAAGACGTCATTATTAGTGTGCCTGAGAATTTTACAAACAGCTTTGCTTAGAGGCAGGAGCACTCCAACCACCCTGCCCCCCAAAAAACAATTCTAACATGAAATTAAAGACACAGGCGTCATTCTAAACCTCTGTTTGATCAGGCCTGAAGGGTGGTGTGTGAACAAACCTAACAGTGAGACCTATAACAAGGCCTTCTCAAGGTAAGGGGCTTGTGCAGCGTCTGAAGGTGCTATGCTGTGACCAGAGGGGGCACTGTAGTTAGGAGTTTGTGTGAGTGCAGGGGGGTTGGGGCCTGGAGCTGGTCCCGGAACAGTGGCTGGGTTCTGGTAGGACTGGACTTCAGAGGGGGGCATGCTGCCAGGGGGCGCTGTGTAGACTGGAGGCTGTCCCATGTACATGTGAACATCACTGCAAGAGAAAGGATATATGACACTAGGGTACTTCAAACTTACCCTGATTTGGTTCTGGTTTGAGCCCAATTGAATCCTGATATAGACTTGGTCTGTCCTGGGTCTAGTCCTGGGTCTAGTCCTGGGTCTAGTCCTGGGTCTAGTCCTGGGTCTAGTCCTGGGTCTAGTCCTGGGTCTAGTCCTGGTCCTGATCTAGGCAATATCTTGGAAAGGTTTAATTTGTTTAGTTTAATTTTTTATGTGGTGTTCTCTGTGCAAGTGAATGCAATGAGTCCATGAATTCTCCACCTTATATTTCAAGAATCAATTTTAGCAGTTAGTTAGTACTGTATTTTCCGGACTATTGAGTGCACCTGAATATAAGCTGCATCAACAAAATTTTAAAATTGTACATATATAGGCCGCATGTGAATATAAGCCGCAGGTGTCCACGACTTCAAGAACGTTTAAGTTTGGGCCGTCTGCTTTTATTGCCTCTGAAAGCTTTTGTTGTCTTTTTGCATTGAGTCAGCTCGTCACGCTGCTGTCGCCAAACTCTCACTATCGACTCACTGATGCCAAGCTCACATGCAGCAGCTGTGTTTCCTTCTTTGACAACCACATTAAACGCATTTACCTTAAAAGCTGCATCATCTGCATTTCTTTGTGTATTTTCCATGAGGAGTGTGTGCGTATGAAGAACAAAATAACTGTTCAAAACACCATCAAACGAGCATCTTCCTCGGCGCATTACCCAGTCTCTTCCTATGCTCTACTGCACATGACTCCTGCAAAAGGCGCTGTCCTGTCTGTATCATGTCAGTGTCTTGTAGGATTTCAACAGATTTCAGGCTCTCTTGGGGGCAAGGCTAGTTCTATCAATCAGGTATGAGTGGATGTCCGGCTACTGAAGTTTGAGATGTTTCTTCTCGTAATTTACGCATAGGGGTAAGATGTATCCTCCCTACTAATGTTAATTTAACATCATAACTTATTTTATCACATGGAGATAAACTATTTGAGTGCGCCGACAATATCGCTAGCTAGTGTAGCAACTTCACGTTAACCCTAGCTCCATGTGTTATCCGCACAGACAGAGGCGATTTCTGCCCTCAGGCTGTGCGTATTCGCTGTGTTGCCAAACCATAGACCGTATATATGAACGGAAAATGTGTCAAACAAAGAATCCATCCAAATGATAGCCGCAACGTTTTATTAGCCTTTACTTTAACAAAGTAGTGACTTATAGTCCGGAATTTACGGTAAACATGTTATCTAGGTCTACATGTCATTTAAATAACTGCCAAAGTGCTCTGTGAATAATACATAAATCATGTTCTTTATACGAAAGATGAGATCTCAGCCACAATAAATCCAGATTGACCCAAAATTATGAAACTCAAACCACTCACAGAAGACTTGTTTACTCCTGCAAAAGAACAAGAAGAAACTGTACCTAGGGGCTGGTTGTCCTGGAATAGGCGCTCCAGCTGGGAGTTGCTCCATAGGAACAGTGTAACCCTGAACTGCAGGGCCGCTCATGCCATAAGACCCAGGGGCAGGCGGGCCCGGGTACACCTGAGGATGGAGGGCAAATATATATTAAAGATTTTATCATTTTATGAACTGGGCATGTTTTCCTTCCTCCTTTTCCAGTATTATTGTTGAATTTTCTGTATGTCCTTTTATATATGTGACAGAAAAAACTACATACATCTTATATTATGTCTGCTGAATCTAAAGCCTATGCAAGAGTCTCCCAAATAAAATCCAGTAAAGTTTTTGTTATCTTGTTCTCTCACCTGTTGTGTTGTGTTTCCAGGTTGTTGCATGTAGTACTGCTGGCTCTGCAGCTTGGCGTACATGGCATAAACTGGATCTTCATTCATCAACTTGGCATACAAAGACAGAGCCTCCATCACCTTTACATTGAGCTCCGACAACTCTGAGTGTTTCCTGTTGACAGAGGACCATGACATACAACACATGAAGACACATTGATAATATTTGATGCAGTATTGATACATGACTTATAGAAGTACAAAATAAACACTATTCAAGATGATTACCGATCTATGTCCTCCAACTTCTGGTCAATGAGAGGTCCCATTTGATTACAAGCACCTGCAAAAATAGTCAATATTAATAAGGGCTATACAATTTTTTTGCCCAAATACGTAATAAAATAAATGTTCTACCCCAGTTCAGATATATTGCTGTCTGTATGTAATTATAAGTATTTTTCTTGATCGTGAATAAGGAAGTAAGGCTGGTGTGCTGTTGGCATGCTAAATGTTTTTAGCATTATCATGGCAGAAAAGCTACGCTCTGGCGTCAGACTGGTTGTAAAAAGTGCCTATAAAATGAATAATTAGGATATTGCTAATGTGTTAGGAAAGTGAAGAATAAGCTGGGACCTCTGCAAACCGTTAAAATGCACTAATTGGGTTTTTCACATTTGAAACAGTAAAAATCAGATACAGTGCCTTAAACTCCTCAGTGTGTTGCACATTTTAAAAAGTCACCCTATAATATTTTATTTTCATATTATATAGTCGTAGTTTTACCTTCTAACTGGAGGAGTTCTACACTGTCTGACTGGTTATCTGTGGGATCTGCACTCTGAATCATCTGCAGTAGCTGGTCCATTTTATCCTAATGAGGAAACACATAATAAAAGTTTATATTGTATGTATTGTACTGCATATTGACATTTATAATTAATGGTGCTATAGTTATGGACTTACTTCATCTATGTACACAGGCTCCTGCTCTGGCTCTATGGTCTCCACCTGGACTTCTTCACTGAACTGCACAGACTTCTTCTCGGTCTTTACTATTTAGTAAAACAATGACAAGGTTAGTCTTAAAGCTAAAAACCAAAAGTAACATTTAGATTCCAAAAATTACCAATTGACTATTCTAACAAGTACAATAAATCATACGTCCTCACAGACCCAATAAGGTTGTGTTCATTTGGCATCACAAACCATAAGGATTCTACAATGTTAACAGTGAGGAGGAAGGGGTGTTCAAATTAAATGTGGAATTTGCTTTTTAAAGATCAATTTGTAGACTTGTTGACATGGTTTATGGTTAATATCTCTGTAATTACTGGGCCTATTCACGTGATATAAAAGTGGCACAAAGGTCAATGCCTTCTCTTATGTTTCCTCAATGTCTTCAGAAAGTGGTACCATTATTCAATCACAATCAAAGATGTGATTTTTATAAGTTGAAAGGTGCTGAAGTTGCTGGACCCAATCCCAAACAAATAATGATAACACCTGGCATTTGCAAATCATAAATTTGGATATTGCTTTCAAAAACAGTAAATCTCCTATAGAGTTTTATAGGCTGTGCACCCATCTCATCACATCACAAATTCTTGAACGTTAATCCAACTAGTAGCAGATATGCAGATATATAGAATTGTACTCACTCATTTCAGGCTCAGCCGTCAGATCAGCTGTCACAAAGTTGGAGGGGAAAAGACCCACCCCCTGATATGTTTCCCCTTTCCACCAGTTTGGATCGCTGCACACACACACACAAAATAAATATTCAATTAAAACAGATAGTTAGTAAAAGGTGAAATGAAAATCTAAGTTAACTGCACCTGTCATCTAGAACAGTAATGATTTCTCCAGACTTAAAGGTGAGCTCATTGTCTTCAGCAGCCTCAAAGTCGTAGATGGCACGAACTTTCCTCCCGTCGGACTTGTGAGAGGAGAGCAGACTGGAGGTGCTCGGGTACAGGCTGGACAGGGAGGTCTGAGGCTGCTGACGCTGCTCTTTCAGGGACAGTTCAATAGCTTCAAAGAGAATAGAAGAGGAAATTGTGATCAGTTACTTAAAATGTGTATAGACTGTTTTTTTTTTATTTCTAATTTCAGTATAATATGAACAAATTGTGTATAATATGAACAAATCAGTAAATACTATAATTCTAATAAGCTCGGGAAAAAAATCCATATATAACAATATAAAATAATTAGTAAAAAATACTGCATTTTATTTTCCTGTAAGATTAGAGGCAAAATACACACACAATATATACAGTATAGTTTCTTGTTTCTTTTAATATAATTTAGCCAAAAACAATAACTTTTAAAAACTTGCTGTTCTAATCTCAGTTATATGAAAATACATATCTGAAGCAGACTTCTCATAACCTTTCTATGACCACCATTCAGCCAGTGACAAAAAGAAAATTAGGGAAAAATATACATATAAAATTATACCATCTGTCCTACCTTTGGCCAGGTCTTCTTCCTCTTTTTTGGTGGATGCAGTGGCTGGATCTTTTGCCACTAAAGCCGGGCTTGCTTTTGCTTGTTCTGCAGCCTATGAAAATGTTGATGTTAATTTGTTAAGAAAATACCAAAACTATTCATATAATTTCTTCACTAACCTGGGAACCCACTGCAGGAAAAGTGACTCCTTGCTCTCGTAGGTTTTTGATCATGGCTGAGATCAGACTAAGTTGGGGATCATTACGAAAATCTTCTGCCCACTCTACCATAAGAGCCTTCAGCTTCTCACAAACTTTAGGATGACCCTGAAGATTTAAGGTAACACATTTATACTACCTTCAGTTCTAAAGACAGCAAATAAATGAAAATTTAAATGAAAAAAATAATCAAACAAGAGTTAATACCTTGTTTAAAACACTACTGACTTCACTGGCAAATTCTCGAGAGCACACCTCCAAATGGAAGATTTTGCCACAGTTTGAGACACAAGCTCCAAGAAGCTGAGGGGGGAAGAGTTAAATATGCATCAATCTAGGCAAACTGATAAACCTTAAAAGCAATTAGACACAAAAAATACTGAGGTTCTTACAGTAAGAGCCTGCATGGCCACATGGGGATCCTTGTGGTTTACCCGTCTCATTACAGAGCGAAGGCATTCCTTTGGCCTACAAAGATATACATGGTATTGTTGTGTTAACTCTGTCAAATCATATCTACGTACCATTCTCAAGTTAGATTTCCTATGAAGACGGTTCACTAACCCAGTGCGTGACTGTCCTATCTTATCACATATGTCCAGAATGAGGCCCCAGTCCTCCGCTGTGTTCATCTCACTGGTTGCCTTCTCTGTAAAAAACACACAATAGTGAAGACAAGGGGAAGGAGTGGTCTTGAGCTCATAACCTTATTTACCAGACAGGGGTTGTTACTTACAGGTTTAGTCTACTATTACTCTTTATGTTTAAGACATCATGATTTATGGTTTTAGGTCTATTGTTTAGTCTTCTTGATAACTGTGGCACAGATAAAGGCTCATCTTATATTGCTTTCCAGTCTCTTATAAACCATATTTCATGCACTAATATTTGGTTTTAAAGTATCTGATAACATCAATAAATATCTGTGTAATCATAATGTTAAATGACAGAATACAAGGCAGAACATATTTTTGCTGTATTGCTATTTTAATGTAAAACGCAATGTCTGTTCTTTGTTATATATGTAAAAAGATGTATTATAATTTCTGGGTGATATAGTCAATATAGTTTGTCTGAGAGGCCCTTTGCTACAGTCTTCCACCGACTATATGATCGATGTTATGAATATGTTCTAACTCAATACTGAGTCCACAGACTATGATTGAGACGGAAGACTAAAATGTGCAGAGATGTTAGCTTTCAACAGCTAGCCACTTGCATCCACCTTATAGACAGAGCCAAGGCGTTATGTCCACAACACACAATAAAAAAATGCCAAATATGAACCGAAAAGCTTGTCTCATCCAACAGTATGTCAGCCTACCACAATAACACGCAACATGATGTGAATGTAAAAATGAAACAAAGCTTGGTGATGAGAGGAGTTAGCTCGAGGAGGGACCACAGCCTGCGCAGCCCCCTGCCCTTTTTTACTCACCCACATCTTGATCAAAGGGGTTTGTCGTGAAGAGAGGCATTGCTGATGTCTTGGCGACTTTTAATTAGTCTATTTCCCACAATTCTTTATTTCATACGACAATAAATCATAGTAACTTCATAAATGCAGCTCGCTGTTAGCTTCTTCTCCAGACACTTCACTCAGCTCCGTCAGACGGCAACAAGCTAAGCATGCTGGGTAATCATAACAATCAATCCCGAATAAAAGCCGCAAATTAGCTGATTTAGATACCACTAAATATGTTCATAATGTAGATACTAATACTTGATACGAGTTATATTATTAACCCCAATACCGATGTGAAATCACCCTTTCCCTAAAAATAACATGTCATCGTCAGGTGATGGCGGTCACGTGATCACATGGCGGTGACACTTCAGCGCAAAAGCATTATGGGACTAGAAGTTTTGTTATTAAGTCTAATTCTGGACTTGATTTATACAGTTGTCTATTTGTTGAATTTGTAAAACATTAGGATAAATTAAGAAATTGATCACTCGATGTTCTACAAAATGACATTAACCCTGTGACAGCCAAGTCTGACTGTGAATGGGATTGCTCCACACACGGGTATCGTCACCTGCTTTTCGCACAAGTTTAATACCATATTGTGGAACATTCCAAGCAGCGCTTATAGCAAGTGCTCAACCCTCCACCAGAAAAAGCTATAGAGACTACATAGTGCATATTTAAAGTTTAATACCACACATTACAGCAATGACTAATACCACAAAGATAGGCTTATAAAATCACATTTTATTATTTAAATAAAGCAAATGTTATACAGCGTTTTAACTATTTTACTGCTTGATCTGTTAGGCTATAGGTGGGTTTGGTTCATATAAAATCATAATACAGGTCTAAATGATTATACAAATAAACTCTTTTTCATTGCATGTTGTTAATCAGTCACACACAATCAAACCAATAAGATATTCACAAATTTGGCATAATGGACAATGTCTCACTTGTATAGTATTTATATGTCTAAAAAATATGAGTACATATAAAGGTTTTAAAGGCAAGGTAAGAAAATGTTGCAGTCATTTAATGATCCATGGGCACATTCTGAATGCTAAGTTACAGTCACAGTTTCACTTCTGTGTGGTATCAAAAATACAAAATAACGATAGCTTTAATAGCAGTATAATTTCATATATTTGCAGAACAGAGTAAAAATGTATTTATTTGAACACAATTTGTCACTATTTACAGATAAACCTGTACAACATAAGGACTTCACTTTGACTCCAACATTCTTATGTTTTCATATAAAACGCTTTGTCCCAATAGCAGGGGGCCGGCCTGTGCTTGTTTAGTCCTTTGCACCACACTGTTGTAAAGTGCCTTTTGACCTGTCAGTGCTGGTCTCCATGACACTGACTGACTTTATCAGAGTCTTCTAGTCAGTGCTAGAGCTCCTCCTTCATCCATGCTCATGTGGGACTGCCACTGCTATAAAACTGGAAAGTCTATACAATAAAAGAAAAAAAAAGTACATGTCATTCAAAAATATATGAAAACCTTTTTATATGAGAATTACACACATTTACAATAATTGTGCACATGAACATGTGCATAAAGCACATCATGCTTTAGGGATGGCCTAAAATGATGGTATTATCATCACAATATTATAGTTAATTTTAATATTTATTTTATTTATTTAATGCCTTAAATTTACAGATTTTGCTTCACTTAAATATTTTTCTCTGTACATATAAAATTCACATCTTTATTCCCATCTTTTTGACTAAACAGAATAGAGTGAGTGCAGACCATCAGCGGTGCGTTCACAGATGAAGCCAATGCGGTCAGTGCAGTAGAAGTCGTTCCACTTGGCCTGGTGAATGAGCCCAGCACAGTCCTCTCCATCCTCATGTCCATGGGTCCAGTTATCAGGCTGCCCCGGCTTCCAGTTCCTGTAGGAGGCAACAAAGAAAGGTTCTCTTACCTCAAGTCATCAATGCATGATACAAATACAATGCTTTCTTATTGAAAATATTAAGAATAATTGCATTGAATAGGATTAACTCACGTGAACTCAGGTAATGTCCCATCCACCCATTTCCATTCATTCTCCTTCTCTCTGTCTGTGAGGCCCAGCCAGAAGTACATCTTCCCAACAACAGATTTTTGAATGTATTGCTACAGAAGAAAGAATGTGACAAACTCATGCTGAATGTATTAGAGGTTTGAAATCAAACATTTTACTGTTTATACCTGTTCATCGTTGTCACTGATTATCAGCAAATGTGTTGAAATGTTTGTACAATAGTTGTTGGCTTCATCAAAGTTGAGTCTTTGAGCAGCAGGGGAAAAATAATAGCAACTTCCTCTCCACTTTTTAAAGTGTGGTGGGCAGCCTGGAATAAAATTCCAAATATTTAGAAAAAAGTTAGAACTAGATATAAATAACGTACAAATGTCACTTACCGGGGACAGCAGTAGGCGGGGCAGTGGGCTGAGTAATTTCAGGCTGCTCTGTAGCTGCAAGCGATTTAACAACCCCAGGTTGCCCCTTAGGGGGCGGAGCTGGGAATCCAGGTAAACCTGGAGGACCAGGAGGGCCGATAGGGCCCACAGGCCCCCGCGGACCATCCTGACCTGGTGGTCCCGGGGCTCCTCTGGGCCCTGGTTCTCCTGGAGGACCCTGCGGTCCACTGAACCCGTCCCGACCGGGCAGCCCCGGAGGTCCTGGGTCTCCAATATTACCCTGTAACCCAGGCCTGCCCTCAGGTCCTTTTTGCCCTCTGGGTCCAGGGAAACCTGGTTGGCCTCCTGAACCCTTTGGCCCTACAGCACCTGTGGGACCAGGAGGTCCTCTCTCTCCTTTAGGCCCCACAAGCCCAGTTGCGCCTCTGCCTCCTTTGTCACCCTTGGGTCCAGTCTGACCTACAGGGCCCTGTGCACCCCTGTCTCCTTTGGGACCCCTGGGACCAGGAGGACCTACAGACAGTGGAGGACAGAGTTTACAGCTGAATGTAAATGAGTAAAATGTGCTCAGCTTGTATCATGAGGTGAGTTAAGTCTGACCTTGCAGGATGGTGAAGTTGGTGATGAGCTGCGAGTGTTTGCTGTCCACTAGTTTCATCTCCTCCATGACGGTGGACAGACTGGTCACCTCCTTGTCCAAACGGGACACCAGGTCATCCTGTTGGGCCTTCAGGTCTCTACTGTCTGTGCGAACCTCTGTCACGCTGCTGTTCAGAGCCACGATCAGATCTGTGTGCTTCATCACCGTCTCTGCACAAGCCCTCATCCCATTGAGGTCGGAGCTGATGGCCCCCAGCAGCTGTGAGGAGAAGCTCACGTTCCCTGTCACTCGGTCCATGTCGCTCTCATGACGGTCCAGTCGCGCCTCTACTTCGTCAAAGCGTGCCGAGGTGCTGTTGTCATGGTCCCTCTGGTGGTCCATGAGCTCTCGGAGGCTTTGGTCGTGGATCTCTGTGAGGGCCGAGGCGTTCTGTATCTGACTGGCCAAAGTGCTGAGCTGAGCCCCCAGGTCGTCCAGCGCCTCTCCATTGGAGCGTGTCAGGGCGGAGTTATTAGCTGCTAACACCTGCAGGTTCTGAACCTTCTCTTTGAGCCACTCAGTATCTGAGGCGGCCTGACGAGCGCTCTGCTGCAGACCCTACAAGAGGAGATATTGATCATCAATTGGTTAATCTCCATTTGGGTCACTAAAAGACAACAAGCAAATCAATTATTTTGCTGTGAAATAGAATGTAGAAAGTACATTTAACTTAAGAAATTCTTCTTACTCCTTTTCCAACATACTGACATGCCTGTCTTTTTGCCCTCTATTATTATCTATCTATTATCTATATCTTAATAATTTTAACAATGTTATTATTTGTTAACTCTGCAGAGAAATCTAAGTTGGAATTAAAACTTGGCATGTTATAGTACAGTCTATTTATAGCCCAAATAAAAATGACTGACTGTTTAATTAGGTGTACATCACTGAAATAATTGATGAATCAGAAAGGCATACCTGGTAGTCATTCTTCAGTCTCTGCACCGCCTGACCCGCATCCTCCACAGTTTTCTGCAGACTACTCAGGAGGTTTCTCTGTTGAGTTTGACTGATGTTTAGTGCACTGATGGTGACCTGGCTCTCCCCCTGCACTTTCACCTGCGTCTGTATTTCTGATTGTAGGTAAGCTGTGTCCGTTTGGAGATTGTCCAACATGGAGCTGTAGGTGGTCAAGGTCTGGTTGACGGAGCGCAGAGAGGCAGAGTTGGAGTCCAAAACCCCCTGTAAAGAGGTGTGCGTGGCCTGCATTTCTCCCCCTGTCAGACGCAGCCCTTCCAGGACATCCCGGTTCTTTGTGGCTCTGAGCGCGATCTCGTCCAGCTGCTTCCTCAAAGCTTCCAAGTCAGATTTAAAAGTCCGGATTTCACTGGTGGCGTTTATTGACTTCTGCCCAGCCTGGTTACCTACAATAGACAGACAGACACAGAGCATGCAACAACAAAGCGAATAAATACAAAGTGCTAATTAAAATTAAATTACCATCATATTTCTGATAAGACTATTGGAGTGAATTTGAGCTTAAATATTCAATATTACACAAAATTGACAAAATTGCTCTTTAAGCCATGTTAGAATGTTGTTACTTCTTCAAAAACATACCTGGAGTTGTGTTTAGTTTCATTCACACATGTTTAAGTAACCCTTTATTATTAGTCTGTTTACATCTCCAAAGCTCAAAATGCTCTGTTCTACCTTGTGATGTGTAGTTGAAGTTTTCCAAGTTAAAAGCTACTACCGTTTACCTTCCGTTTTGATTGGCAGGGCTGAAATTTTCCAAACGATTATAGTGAAGGTTTATGGAGTTTAAAAATACAGTGGAGCACTTCCTTTTACCTTCCTATTACCACACAAAATCACAATAATAATAGCAATAGCAATAATAATCAGCCATAATATTATGTGCCCTTTAATTATACCTGTTTATGAAATTATTATTATATAATAAATATAATAATAATAAATAAATATTAATAGTATATTAATATTATATTATATTACAAAAAGTAGTAAACTAAATGAAATAATAATAATAATAATAATAATAATAATAAATAATGAGACAGGTGTCAAATAAGGCATAATTATATAAATGTATATAGCTACAAAACATCGAAATATAGAAATACAGGGTCATAAGGAAAAAAAGTGCAAAGATAAAATAATGATTGACAGGACATAAGGATGAGCTGTAGTATGGATTATGGTATGAATGTAGTCCTATATCTTTAATTGTCTAAATAAAATACAAAAAAAAAAAAATAAAATTAATAAACACCTGCAACTAGTCACATTCTCAAAGCAAATAAAATAATCTATATTAAATTGATCTAAATGGTCTCAATTGACTAAATAAATAAATAAATTATACATATGTTGAGAAAGCAATGTAAAAACTTACCAAATTTCTTTAGATCCGTCTCCACTTCGTTGATCTTGCCTTTATAATTCTGCATACCCTCTGTGACATTATCCATTCTCTGGACCACTATCATAGATTGGAGGAAAAAAAAAAAAAAAAAAAAGACAATGTAGTAACAACCTAATTCTGCAATGACATGCCCCAAACACCAGAGGGCGCACAATATTCACGCATAATACTATTCCGCTGCCAACCTCGATGGGTGGAAGATTGTGGCTGGTTGAAAAGATTAGAAGCTTTTTGATTTCGTGTAACCAAGCAACTGTGGATTGATAGACACAAATACAAACTTGATTTTACAACAAACAGCAAACATAATGAAAATCATATGCTGAATCTCTCTCTTTCCTTTTTCCTTGTTTCTTCTGCGTATGTGGGCGTCAAAAGCTGACAAAAAAATGTTCTGGAGAGAGCATCCTGAACTTTCCTTGTTATCATTCCAAAAATGACAAAACATGAACCAATCAGAATACAGGCAAACAAAGCAAATGGGGTCCATTTTAGGTCAGTTGCTTGGAAGAGGATAATGCAATTTGGAAGTGATTTAAATAATATTTTTACACAAGACAGGAGAATTTATTTCTGTACTCCTTCTTTTCTTTGTTTTTCCTTTTTTTTTTAAATGCTTTTGACACATTTTCCATACAATTACTGCTTACTATTAGACCTGTCACGATAAAATGATTTGCTGGGATTATCCTGCTTTGTGTCAGTCACATGTATATACAAGTGTTTTCAATGTTATTGTTTCTCACAATATTCCTCTGTGCTTTCAAGTGTGTTATCTTAAGAGGCCTTCTTATTGTGGTTCAAAAGTTCAAACAATTAAAAAAGTTGCAGGTGCCCAATGTAAATGTTTTAATGGCGAGAGTGGTGGCAAGATACTACTGTAGCCACAGCTGCCCTGGAGCAGACTGATGGAAGTGAGGCTGCTAATCTGCGCCACACACTTGCCTAAGAGCACAACAACATTTTTTGACACTGGCGCCCCACTGTGGCCCCACACCTTGAACTCATTTTTTTTTTTTTTTGTAAAACAAATCTATCTCTTTCAGCTATATACAAGGTCATTAGGAGAGTGCAAACATGGTAATGGTAGATAAGATGTTATAAAATGTTAATCCAGGCCAGCACTACAGGAGAAAACAAGGAACTTTTAAAATCTTTGTGACTTGTTGCTTTTTGCAAGTGAACCTTACACTACTGAGCCATAAAAGCGTGCCATAAGTAGTTTAAGTGCATGGTCATCTGCTAAACATTACAGCTCAAACCACAGACATCATATGAACTCCAAAACAACACCGGGAAGTATTCAGCTGCTATGACGAAGCAAAATACAAATACAAATATACAAGGAAAGTCTATTTTTCTGTAAGGGTCATGTCCGAACACAAGACAGGCAGGCTGAAGAAACCTGGGGCTGTTTACAGTGACTGGGTTTGAATTGGCTGAACTTAAACCGGATATGTCTCTCTTCATAATAATACTACAAAGCGGGTTATGAATGTCTTAGTGAACCCTGTTTATTTCTATGGAACTATGAGAGTAAACTGTGCCAGTTCTAGAGGTGGACGATATAATAATGGAAACTATTCAAAATGAGTTGACAAAAAACAAAACAATCTTATCTTATCTTACAAATAACGTTATATTTTTGAGTTCAATTTGACAGTCCATTACATAAATTCTTCAACAGGATATTTCAGATAGTATGCAATAAATTCCAGACCTCCACGATGATTCACCTCTAGCCACATGTCCCTCGCCATTTTCATTTGTTTACTCTTTTTTTGTATCTCAAATGTTACTAAACACATTTAAATTTTTACATTTATTAGCACTTCAAACATTGTACATTTAATCCCGAAGATTAGTAGTAAATCTGTAATGGTTAAAGGCCAGTTCGGAATTTTGGACATAGGACCGCACAAAGTGTTGGAGATGTGTGGAGACACTTTTTAAAATAGTCCATCCAGTCCTTGTATCTGCAGAGGTCTCTGGTGCTAGGCTAGCGCATGTCAATGACCATAGTTAGTCTGCCACTAAAAACAGTCTAACCCACTCCACAAAACACCCGAAGCCAATCTATTATTACGCCAGACTGTCACTGTAAATGTCTATGTTGATAGAATAATTTTAGAAGTAAAACCAATCTTGCATTTGAAGGATTAATGTGTGAGTAGCAACAATGAGTTGTACTTCCTGATAGAAAGCTTGGCAGCGGTGGACTGATATATGAGAAAATAGTCCCTCAACATGCGACAATTCATGCAATGCAAGGTTAGTTTTATTTCAAACATTATTCTATCAACACAGACATTCACATGGACAGTCTGGTGTAATAATTTTTTGCTTTGGGTGCTTTGTGGAGTGGCTAAGACTGTTTTTAGTGGCAGGCTAACTATGGCCATTGACATGCACTAGCCTAGCACCAGCGACCTCTGCAAATACAAGGATTGGATGGATTATTTCAAAAAGTGTCTCCACATTTCACCAACACTCTGGCTCACTAGGAAATGAGGTCCTATGTCCAAAATTCTGGACCGTCCCTTTAAGATTAAGAAAAGGTGTTGGGCTTGTCTTAGTGTAAAACAATGTAAACTTTTGTAATGTTATTATGTTATGTTGGCAGTCTTGTGGCATGATCTCTGTTTGTTTACTTTTAGGAGGAGGTAAGTCTCATAAAATTGTCAGAATATTGTCATCAGCACAGTAAAATGAAGAGGAGAAATGCATTTTGGTCACATATTAATATTAGTCATAATCCATAGGCTAAACTCATGCAAAGTATTATATAGTATACAGTGTTATGGAGTGGTGCTATGTCATGTCAGTACAGGAATTTAACCTGGTCCAAAACAGGTTAAGTTTTAAAGTATGTTACTCTATAGATCTACTTCACTAGAATATGATGCAGCTTTAGATATATCAGGGTTGACCCATAGTTGCAATGATAACCTTCTAATCCACCTTCTTACTAAAAACCCTGACATGTGGAACTACATTTGCTACTGCATTTCAATTAGTTTTATGGTGGAGAAGAGTGGTTGTTTTTTTTGGATTCCTTTAGCCTTCCAGACAGTCTAGATTTCAACAATGTGAATCTTGACACTGCTAAAATGAAACAATAAATATTTGGAAATTTGTAATGAATCGCCACTGTGTGTATACAAAGATAGAACTGGATATCTCAACAGAAAGCAGGGGAAAATAAATGTCAAGGTTGTTAAATTTCCCTTGTTCATAATAATGGATTGGAGTATGATTGTGTTCAAGGAGAGGATCATTCTTGTTAGTTGTTTTGCAGCTGAAGCCTGATTGAAATGGTCTAGCGGTGTTCAGTGGATGGATAGTGAAAATATAGTTAGAAGGATTATAGAGGTTAGAGGTGCCAGACAAGAGGCCCAGAGCAAGACCAAAGAATTATGAATGCAGTTCAAGAGGATTTGAAGTTACTCAGAGTGAGAGAGATTATATTTCTGTGCTGGACTGAACTAGCACTGAGAGCCCTCAGTACAGCACAGACATGGAGTTTCTTTAGTGAAGTTTATTCTGTTAGTTTTTTTTTTTTTTTTTTTTTAGTTTAAAAAAAAAAGATTTACATTTACACAGAAACAAATGAGTTAGATTACAATGACAATTGTCATACATTTATATTGTAAGGCTGAACAAATTAATGAATATTTAATTGTAATATATTTAATTGTACTGAGAAGCTTGGCAGTTGTAATAGATTTGCTATTTATATTTTAAAAGTAGGATCTGAAATTAAAGTACCGTATTTTTCAGACTGTCAGTTGCACTTTTTGTCATACTCTGGTGGGACTTATATGTTAAAATTTTCATTTTGATAGCCGCAAGAGGGCGCTCTAGGCTTGTGTACTCCTGTACTACTGTCACGTCGCACTCTACTACGCATGTCTCCTGCAGAAAGAGCTGCTGTCCTGTCTGGTATCATGTCAGTCGATCGCACCATTCTTGCTGTACCACTGACAATTTAAAATTTAAACAAACATAAAGACAACTGAAACCATCCTGTCAGGATTCAGAAGGCCATAATAATTCTGGAAAACTGGAACGAAGTTGCTCAGAAGTGACACCGAGGATGAAGAATTCACTGGATTTAGTGATTTGGAGTGAGATGGAGAGTTTGGTAAACTTGTTCTGTTCTGTTGTTTATGCTATAGTTATCTGAATACCTGTTCATATGTGACGTTAACAGCCTGTTTTTCTCTGTTCCATTGTTATTACTATAACTTTCTTTTCAAGATAAAATGTCAGTTCCTGGTCTCTGATTCTATAAAATTAGTTTCCCCAAAAAGAGCGACTTTTAGCGCGGTGCAACCTATATATATATTTATATATATATTTTTTTCTTCATTACGCATTTTTTGGCTGGTGTGATTTATACTCCGGAGTGACTTATAGTCTGAAAAATGTGGTATGCCTGTCATGCTAACTAATTCTGAAGCATATTTTCCTACAGAGATTTACAGCGATAAACAATAATAATGAAACAACTTTATATCACTGACACAATAATAATAATGCAGGATCATCCCAGTAAACCATTATTTAATAGACAGTATCATTAAAAGGCTTGGGCTGCAACATATAATGTACTATTACTGGTCAATAATTAGCCATAGGAATCACTTATTCAACCTTTTACAGCTTTCATATATTGAATGATAAGTTGATGTAGCATTTATGGTGGCAGGTCTAAACTAAAGTTAAAACATTTTTAAACTTATACAGGATCATTATCATTTTAGAGAAGACATATGATATATGAACTGCTAAACTAATACAAGAATACCATACATTTTGTGGAGCCCTAAAACAGAGACTCATTTGTTTACATAGTAGGACGGGATATTATGTGGTTCAAATTAAGATTTTGGTCCACTTGGGATTAGTCTAACTTCTTCTATTTAACTTTTTCTTTCTTTACATTTACTTTACATCTTTGACCTGAGCATTTTGTTTATTACATTTTTTCCTATAAATAATTAATCAATTCCTTATAATAACTAACGTACCTTTGAATCCGAGGACAGCCACTGCGATGGTGAGCAGGGCACAGAGGACATACAGAAGGGCAATGGCAGCTCTTAAGGCCCAATCATTTTTACATTTGGTGCACTCGGTTCCCTCTTGAATACCTGAAACAAACCACAATAAAACAAACACCTCAATTTACATAAAGTATTCATTTGTGGATTATCAAGTAAGGTTACATTCAAACAAACACTACAGCATTTGATTGCATAACTACGTTTAATAGAGTCTAAAAAAGGACACGCTGTGCTTCTCTGTATCCAAGAATCAATTGAAAACAGTTGCCCGGCCACTAACACTCACTCACTATAAAACTTGAGAACATGTGTTGGCCATGTGATGTTGGAACAGGCAGTGCATTGCAGAGTAATTGTTCACCAATTGTACTCAAAACAAGATATTTTTAGATTATTCATGTAATATGTTTGAAATGCACAATTCTTTTCCCTCTTGTACAAGCTAAAAACAAATGACTGAGTGACAACATATTAGACCCCTACAATACCGGGCCCTTAGAGACAGTGCTGGGAAATGTACCGAAAATAAATATAAAACAAAAAAACAAATATATACTATTCTAGAAAAAATTTGCGATAACGTGATTTTTCATCTTTAAGAAACAACCATGATTGTAAGTTGAATCAATGATGTAGTAATTATTGGCATAATAATGATACAAGAGTACCAGAGGTGGGGACTTGCAAGTTGTAACTTGGACTCAAGTCAAATTTGAGTCACTATTTTTTTGGACTTGAGACTTGACTTGATAAAATGGAGTAAGGCTTGAGACTGGACTTGGACTTGAAGGTCAGTGACTTGGGACTTGACTCAGACTTAAGACCTGTGACTTGAGAAGACTCGAGAAACACTTTAAAATCTGACTTCTTTCTATTCTGACTGTAATGATTCACACTAAGATCTTGTTAAGACATTTTAAAAAGAAAACTTAACATTTCTACAACTCTTACTGTATATACTAAATACTCATATATAAATATACTTTTTTTTAAGTACAATTTATCTTAAAAATCATACAAATTGCAAAAATCTAAGCTATATTTGGTTCTTTGGTTTAAAGACTTGATATAACTTGAAACTCAAAGCAGATGACTTGTACTTGAATTGGACTTGACTTGGACTTATGGGCCAGTGACTCGAGAGTCAACTTGGACTTGGCTGTATTTAACTTGGGACTTGACTCTGACTTGAGGTCAAAGACTTGGGACTTACTTGACTTGCAAAACAACAACTTGGTCCCACCTCTGAAGACTACATATACTTAACACCACCTCTTGCCTCATCCAGATATATTTTGTGTTTACTAATATTTAATGTTATTTATTAAAGGTCCTATATTACACAAACTTTATTCTTGTGAGCTTTTAGCCATGTTAGAATTTGGTTACCTCTTCAAAAACGTATCTGTAGTGGTGTTTTGTTTCATTCACACACATTTGAGTAATCCTTTCTTAGTCTGTTTACATCTCCAAAGCTCAAAATGCTCCGTTCCACCTTGTGTGGTCATGAAGCAGTAGTTTTCATATGGTACAGTGCCTGTTCATATACAAGAGCTTTCAACACTGGCAGCATTTTCTAAAGCTTTAAAACAGTGGTTGTTCCATAGACAAATATGTCACCATATGTCACGTTTAACCAAGTAAATTTTTATTTTTTTAGTATTGAGGGGTTGTTGGTTTAACTCTTTAACTCTTGACTTCAAACTTCAAATGTACTGTATGAAATAAATTGTATGTATAATGAGTGTACAGTGAGTGTGCTGGTTTTATGTACTTTTGTGTGATTTTGTATGACATTTCTCTGTCCTGTAGATAATTTCTCTTCAACCTGTCAAGGAACTGAAGATGGAAATTAGCCACGTTGCCTATAATCTTTACATATTTACATTTTAAATGTTCATATGTTCATATAAATATGTGCTGCCCCTTCACAAATAAAAAATAAAAAATAGATAAGAAAAAATAAGTTAGCAGCTACATTTTATCTTTGTTTCAGTAGAAATGGGCAATTCCAGGGCTGAAATTATCCAAATGATTATAGTGGAGGTGTATGGAGTTTAAAACACAGTGGAGCACTTCCTGTACTACCACATACATATTACCTCAGCATACATTTGCAGGATTTGTGCGTTAAACGTGTGAATGAAACAAAACACAACTCAGAAATGTTTCTGATGAGGAAACAACAAAAACATTTCAGTCTCATTGTGCATAAAAAACTGCTAACTCTGTAGATCTGTACAAGCATGTTCTGAAATATAATTCTTGCATTAGTTTGTCAGTTCATATATCAAGTCTTTGTTGCCAATTCTTCTGGACACTTAAAAAATTTGAACTTTGAACAGAATCCTTAAATTAAAACATAAATCGCAATTTGATATTTTCCACCTCGGTTCAGCCCTACGTGAGATGGCATCGGTCCGATAAAACTTGATATTTCTCACAACAGGGAGCATGCTGGTGAGCTTTTAACTAGTTTAGCGCAGCCTCCTCAAACAAAGTGATGCAATGCCAAACATCCTAAACATGCCTTTGGTGCAGGATGTTTGCTTGACTTCATTAGGAGTGCCTCTGGCGGCTCAGTGCGAGGGCAGCTGGGAAATATTCACAACGCGCAATAAAACACATGTTATCTGAGCAGACTCCGGACCAGATCAGGCAGGGGTTAAGAATGCAGAGACCTTAAACAGTACACACAGAGTACATGTGTATAGACTGGGTGAAATTGACTAGAAATAAAGTATACCACACGGTTTGCAGAGACATATGGACTCAATTCTTCTTTCTTTAGTCCTTTTTAAAAAATATATCAAAAAAGGCTTTAATATATATTTCCTCAACATACAGATTTTAACAAAACCCATATTACGATATTTTCTGATCTATGTTATTGTATTGTTGTTTCCTCCTCAAAACACTCTGTTCCACCTTATGATGTCATGTCTTAAAACAGGAAGTGCTCCATGGTGTTTTTAAACTCCATACGCCTTCAAAAGAATCACATGAATATTTTCAGCTAATTACCGATCTCTACTGAACAAAAGGTAAAAGGAGGAGCTGTTAACATAAGAATTACCTTTACATGACATCACAAGGTGGGACAGAGCATTCTGAGCTTTAGAAATGTAGCAGACTAATAATAAAAGATGACTCAAACATGTATAAAAACAAAATACAACTCCAGGTATGTTTTGAGGAGGTAACAACATTCTAACATGGCTCAAAGCTCACAAGGATATTTTTTTATGGCTGATCCCGATACTGATTATTCAGAATCCAGATAAACCAATGAGCTGATTTAGATAATATTTCCCAAATTATCAAATAACATTTTTGTACAAACTCATCCACAACCTGTTTTTACTACACAGTGTAGAGAGAGGTTTATGCATATATATTTTCATGCATATTTAGGCAGCTGGTATTGGTCTCTACTGAAGATTTATGGCCAATAGCCGATATGCGGGAAAAATGTGCCAACAGATTTATCTATCTCTAATATAAGACCTTTAAATTATTGCGATTTAACAGAAAGAATAGTCAAACACCCCACCTCTCTACAGTTGGAAATCTACTCCAAACCACAATCTTTTACTGACAGAGGACTGGTTGTAAGCGATTAAGAAGATCCAAGCTGATCATTGACAGTTAGAAATGACTGAAACATGACCTTGATTACAATTTATTGCACCGCATTACAGACAAATCATGGAGATTTTATTTGAGACTGCAGAGCCAGGTGTACAGGTGCAGGAGAAAATAGTGGTACATAGAGTTGCCCAGAGAAATATACAAAACCACTAATTGATATAAAAACTAGATACACAAGTTAGACCTTTTCTGAATGCTTTTTAGAATGGTCTGCATTTATTTCAGAGCTAATATAAGACCACATGGTTATATTAAATATTCTACTATTATTTTGTGCTGAATAATCATTAAATTTTCAAAACAAAAATCATTGCAGCACATACTGAAAAGCAGATTTGATCACTGCATTATTCCATTGGCTTATATGGACAAAAAAAAAAAAAAAAAAAAGCTTATGCAATTCCCTTTCACAGCTCAAAAACATTGTATATTTACCAAAGTGTCGCTATTTGTATCTCGCTGGATGTAATCTATAGCCTCTTTTCTCTCAGCAGAGGGGCACACATCTGTCCAAACATGGCGTCTGACCACCTCAAAGACTCTTGGCCAAGTCTATAGTCCTGGACCAGTCTGAGAGAGGACTTAAAGTGACAGACACACACATACACAGATCGCCCGCTGCTTTAAGGACAGCCACACACTGCGTAAACAAGGCTCTGACCGGTGCATGCCTGGGTCAAGAACAGAGCAGATGTGAGAGGAGATGGACCAATAACACCAGATGTGATGAGGACGGTGCGTTCAGGGTCCATGGGGTCAATGGAGATCAACAACAGTGTTACTCAATAAATAAAATAAAACGCACTTAATACTAAAAAATGAGTTTATATTTTTAAATGTTTTGAATTTTTGCACCAATTGAGTCATGAAGCTTTGCCATTTCTATTCTGTTCTTATGCAGTTGAAATAATAAGGGAAAATGGAAAGTTTTGATTATTTTATTTTGTGTTGGTCGCCATTAAAGGTGCATTGTGTAACTTTTCTGGTGGAGGGTCCATCACCTGCTTGTTTCTATGGATATGTCATTGCTCTGCCTGACATGTTCCACAGTATGACATTAAATCATCCCTACTTTGCATTTCTTAAATTATAGGTGTTTTTAAATAGCTTTTATAGCGGTGTTGCCTCACCACAGATCTGACCTATAGTTTCTAGTTTGGTCTACATTAAGATAGAAAAGTTTAATACCATACTGTGACACATTCCAGACAAAACAATAACATTTCCATGAAAAGAAAAGCATTTGATTGGCCCTCCACCAGAAAAGTTACACAATGCACCTTTAATGTGAATGCTGTTTTGGAAAATTTCAACATTGGTTATACTGTAAATATTTGTAAAGAGGTTGTAATCTTTCAAACAAGGGTAAAAAAGTTACATTTCTGCACTTACGGGTACTTTTACAGTCCTAAATAGTGGTAAAATATGTTTATGGT